GATCATTATAATGGCATTGACCATGAAGATAATTTTAATGATTATAATAATCCTTGCAATGATAACAATTGTAATAACGATGATAATCTTGACGATGATAATGACAATGATATCCATGATAATGATATTGATGATCGAGATAATGATAATGATGGTGATATTGATGATAATAACGATGTCGATCATTAAAAAATAATAATAATAGTAATGTTAATGATAATGATGAAAATAATAATTATAATAATAATGATTATAATTACGATAAAAATGATGATAGTTATGATAAACACGATAATATTGATAATAATGATTAAGGTAATGATAATTTAATTGCTAATAATAACTATATTAATGACGATAATAACGATAATAATAAATTACAATAATAAGGGATGTTAATGACGGTAACAATCATGATATTATAATGCTAAAATTAATAATAATAATTCTGACAGTAGTTATTATGATAATGATAAAAATAATGATAAAGAAGATAAAAATATTTACAATCATAGAATTAATTATAAGGATGATGATCACAATGATGATAATAATGATGATATTGATGATTTTCATACTAATAACAATAGATATGATGATGACAATGATAATAATCGTTAAGTGATGATAATGCTAATGATAATAATGAAGATGATAAGTTCGATGTTAATCATAACGATGGTAATGATGATGATGATGATGATGATGATGATGATGATGATGATGCTGATGATGATGATGATGACGATGATGATAATTATGATAACGTTAATGATTATGCTAATAATAAATGGGATAGTAAAATTGAATATCAATAACAATAGAAATAATAATAATTATGATAATTACAATGGTAAATGATAATCATAATAAAAACTACAACGACAGCGATGCCGTCAACAAAAAAGATAACAATGACAACGATAATGATATAATAATAATTAGTTATTAATGATGATGATAATGATGATGATGATAATGATGATGATTATGATGATAATGATGATGAGGATGATGATGATGATGATGATGGTGGTGGTGGTGGTGGTGGTGGTCGTGGTGGTCGTGGTGGTGGTGGTGGTGGTAATGGTGGTGGTGGTGGTGATGGTGATGATGATGATGATGATGATGATTATGATGATGATGATGATGATGATGATAATGATGATGATGATGGTGATGATGATGATGATGATGATAATGATGATGATGATGATGATGATGATGATGATGATGATGATGATGATGATGATGATGATGATGATGATGATGATGATGATNCACCGTCGGTTGCAAAATAAACGGTTGCACCGTCAGATTGAAAATTTCCGTAAAACATCAACGCGTGCTGTCGCTTTTGTGTCCCTCTCTATTTATAACACACACCGCTCAAAATTTTGGGACAGTAACTTTTGGCAAAACCGAAACTTTGATTGACTACAGCTGCGCGAAATCTAATTTATCGTTACTGAATTGTTTTTTTCATTTCGTTACACGTCCACGCAGCTGCGTTGCATTACAAAGTGGGTTTCACAGTGAACTTTTCTCTTCTGTTATTTATCTGTTTTCTTTTATTTTTTACTGAATACTTTTAGTTTGTGGTTAAAAAGTTCTGATGAGAAATTTTTAACCTTTCTATGATAATAAGTACAGAAATAACAAAAGCTTAAGTCATTTACAATAGTAACTTTAAGCAATATTTTTAGCCAGATTGAAATTTGTTTTTTCTAAATCAGAACAACAGATAGTATTAAACAGAAAATTTTGTTAACGTTTTATTTTTTTAATGACGATGATTTTGCTTTTTATTTTAGAAGAATCATAGCAATGATTTTTTAAAATTTAAAACCACTTGAAAATAAAGTTAAATTTATTGGTACAGCTAAGTTTTGATTATAGTTGAATTTTTGTTTTTTAAGAGTTGAATCTTAACTTGTATCAAAACTTTTTTGCAGAGTTTTGAAAATCACTGTACGATCCTTTGCATTATGGATAAGCTATTTAAGATAACTGTTATTTCTATTTAAAAATAGTAATTATATGTTATTCATTGATAAGATAAGTGTCAATTAATAAAAATTAATCGTAGAATATGATGGCAATACTCGGAAATTGCTACATGGTTAGGGCGATTGCTTAAAACTGTTTTTAGCTTTGCTATTGTAAATAACAATTCTGAACTGATGGTTACGCTTTAAAAAATTATTTTTGAAGTGAGGTTTGTTTTTAAAAAAAAAAAAAAACAGTACCTTATAGTTGTACAACTGCAGTTTTGGGGTTCTGGCAATATCTTTTTAAGCCCTAAATCACCAATAACGCAAAATTTCAATCCCTTTTAGAGTTTAAAATATGGTAAAAAATAAAAATAAATGTGGCTTTTTTTCCAGTTTTGAACTTAAGTTCCAGCTTAATTGAAAAAGTCAGTCAAAAAGTATTTGATTTAAAAAAAAACATTGCAAATGTCATTTGTTGTAACAGATGTCTCTTAATCATAAATTTACTCACGTATGATAATAAATCCTTTTTATTTTTATTTTCAGGTTCTTGCAGCTATTCCCTTATCTATTACTGTTTGAGATACTGTCACTATGTTACTCTTTTTATGTATTTTTTCTTATATTTAACATGGATTTCTTAGACACTGTTGTCTTTTCTTTTAATTGCAAGTATTTTTGATTTTGAGTTAATTGTATGCAAAATGACAACGACATCTTGTAAGTAGATTTACTTGTGGCAAGTCACAGATTAGGATGTAGAACAAATAATAAAAAATGTCAGATTTTTGAATAAAGTAATAGCAATAGTCAGTTTTGCTAATGTCACCAATATAATATGTGTTGAACGGTGCACTATAGCAGTATTATAGCGATGAGTTACGCAAATATTGCAAGTAAACTTTGGTAGTAAGTAAGCAAAGTGAGAAGTAGTCGTAAAGCTAGTTTCACGTAGACTAAAATTTCCGTGAATATGATGCTTCACAGGGGAAATAAGTGGAAATTGATATTTTTATTATTAGTACATAGGATACATGTAAATCGTAAAACGGCAATAACATTTACATAAAGTTATTTATCCAATATACAATAGAAAGCAAATCACAAAATTTAAATAACAAGTAACAGTAAACCTCTGCAAAAAAACGTTTTCATTTAGCAAGAAAAAACTAAAGGTGCCTTAAACTAACTAAGAATGCTTTTTTTCCATTATAAGGTTCAGTACAAAAACTTAGCCTTGTAATAGAAGTATAACCAAGTATAATAAACACTGATAAGCAAGTCAAATTTTTGAAAGTTTCTAATGTACTAATAAAAACCAAGTGATACAAGATTTCATATTCAAATAAAATAAGTTGAATCCTAAATAAAGTAATAATTTAAGTGTATATCTTCGTCAAAGAATTCTTATTATATTCCTAGAAAATAGTTTTTCTGTTGCAATATTTATAATATTTAACCTTATTTCAATAAATTAGACATTTGATATATGGGTCAAATCGCGTCAACCGTAACAATGCTGGGTCCAAAATTTGAAAGCACCTACAGAGACGTTTAAGTGCCTAAATTTTAACTTGAGTCATGAGCTTTTGGATGCTACCAGGCCCATTGAGCAGTTTAAAATGGCAGAATAAATATGGTGGCTCGAATTATAAAAAATGATGAATTTTTAATTATATACGACAATCAAAACTCCAATCAGAGTGTATAAACCTGATACTGCTTAGTATATAAGCTTTTTAACTCCTCAGATTATTAAGTGAACACAACGACCACTACGATACCTAACATCACCTCAAAAATCCCCAAAACCCTGTAACGCAGGACTTTTAAACCGAAAGCCTTACAAACCATAATCTTTGAAATTGTCAGTATTTTGAATATATGTTTTCCAACTTTACAGACTACTCAATGAACTGGACTACCACTACAATACTTAACAAAACCTCAAAAATCACTGCAACCCTGTAACACAAAACTTTTAAACCCGAAAGCCTTACGTACCGAAATCTTTAAAATCGACAGTATTTTAAACATAAGTTTTTCAACTTACAGACAACTTAATGAGCTAAAATACCTCTAGGATACTGAACATTACCTCAAAAATCTCCACAACCCCGTAACGCAAGTTTTTTTAACCGAAAGCCTTACGAATAGGAATCTTTGAAATCGATCGTATTTGAAACATGTGTTTTTTTTACTTTACTGTTGGTTTAAAAGATTTTGATTTGTAAGGCTTTCGGTTTAAAAGTCTTGCGTTACTGGGTTATGGGAAATTTGTAGGTTGTATTGAGTGTCTTAGTGGTAGTTTGGTTAGTTGAGTAGTCTGTAAAGTGGGAAAAGACATGTTTAAAATACTGTCAATTTCAAAGATCTAGGTTCGTAAGTCCTTTGGTTTAAAAGTCTTGTGTTACGGGGTTGTGGCGAATTTGTAGGTTATGTTAAGTGTCCTAGTGGTAGTTCGGTTAGTTAAGTAGTCTGTAAAGTTGGAAAACACTTGTTTAAAATACTGTCAATTGTAAAGATTTCGATTCTTGAGGATTCCGGCTTAAAAGTCTTGCGTTACAGGGTTTTAGGGATTTTTGAGGTGATGTTAGGTTTCGTAGTGGCCGTTGTGTTCACTTAACAATCTGGGGAAGTAAAGTGCTTATGTACTACAGTATCAAATTCATATACTTCGACTGGAGTTTTTATTGTAGTGTATGATTCATAATTCATCATTTTTTTATAATTCGAGCCACGATATTTGATCCGCCATTTAAAATTTTTTAATGGGCCTTGTAGCATCCAAAAGCTTATGACTCAAGTTATAACTTAGGCACTTATACGTCTCTGTAGGTGCTTTCAGATTTTGGACTCAGAATTGATCCAGTGACGCGATTTGACCCATATGCATTAACCGTTTACACCCGTTTCTTTTCTTAAGTTGATTTTAGATTCGTCAATTAAACATTTTTGCGCATACATACGCAGAGTTAATATCTTTGAAAATAATTTTCCTTTCAGCTGATCCTACATTAAGAGAGGCAGTTATAGGAATTTCACCACCTGAAGCTGAAAAACATCAGCTGTACATTGATGTGCAGCCTGTAATGGGTACGACATTAAGAGCAAAAGCAAGAATCCAAATCAACTTAGCAGTAAGTCAAGTTCGTGATATCAAACAAGTTGCATCATTTCCTGATATAGTGTTCCCCATTATCTGGTTTGAAGATGTAAGTTACTATTTTTATTATATAACTGCGCACAGTAAGATTTTATTATTGTTGTATAAAACATTTCATGCATCTAATTTGTTGTGAGCAAGCATTTTTGATTTTCATCATTCTATATTTTTAAGTCTCAATTTCTACCCAGATCGAGTTGTACGTTTTATTGTGGCATTGGCTCATAAATTTGTTGCGATAACTTTACCAAGTTGTATTATATTTGAAACAAAATCAAACAAAACTTTTTTAACGGGTAAGAAACTATTTACGATGAGTCATCAAGCTGTTTGTTGTTGATTCCAAACACGATGATAAGGTTTTCTAATTTTTTTTAACAAATAAAAAAAATTTAGTTATACAAAAAGAACCACTTAAAACTTAGTGACAGAAATAAATATGTTACCATAAATTTTATAATAGGTATTTAACATCCTAAAATATGTATTTTCTCCACATAAGCATGTAAAGTAAGTGTGAGAGTACATGTCCTTACGGGTTCAAGAAAACAAATATACCAATAATAATAGTTAACTTAATTTTCGTAATATAAAGAATAAGAGTTGGAGGATCCAGATTGAATAAAAAAGAATACTCAGTGTAATTTGACTAAACATATACTAACAAGACTTTACCCCTTACGCACTTTGCCCACCAACCCCCACATACTCTATCTTGAAATATGAGTTGTGTGAATTAATACAACTATTATATCTTTATTCTTACATTATTAGTCATGAGATTTAATACATACTTTAAAAAGTATTGTATATTACACACAAATTTTTATGACGAAAAATAAAATATTTAAAACATAAATTAAATTAAAAGTTGTGTAGAAATTTATGATATTTAAAATTGAATAAGAAATGTGTATTGTCACGAATAAGAGAAACAGTTAATAAATAGTATTTTAGGAAAAAATTAGGTCAACAAATGGAACAAATGAAAATAAAAATGCTAAACACAAAAAACAAAAGTTCTTAAGAACAAACTATCTTTGTAAATGTTTTTGTACAGAAGTTAAATCATCACATATATACTTGTGGGGATTTATCCCCCTGCACGCTTTACGCACCTACCACACAATTCTTGAATACCAATTAAATACTTTAATTTATTAGTTTACCTTTTTGAGTTAAATAAGTACGAAAGTACTGCACTTTTATATATAAATGAAATTTTACAATTAGAAGACAAATCATGTGGTAGTATTAATTTACTAACCCCTATAGACTTTGATATAAAAGAAAACAGTATCATATAAAAATTGGTTTTCATACTCAACCGTTCAATCTAATGTATGATAAATTAAATGAAGATCAAAACATAATTTTTAAAATTATATATGTTAAGAAATGAGAAATTTTTGCATTAATGGCCAAAAAGGTTTAGGACAAATATTTCTGTATAAATCGTTAATTTATTACTGTACTTCTCGTTGAAAAATAATTTTATTTATGGCATGGTATCATATAGCATTAAAATTACTTCAAAAAAGAATGACCATTCGTAGAATATTTCGTTGAGCCTCAGATTTCTATAATACAAAAAGTTTGTTGTTGGAGTTTAAATCTGAAAAAAAATTAAGAGAAAAAGACTGAATAATATGAGACAAGGCTTCTATCATCTTGAAAAAAGCCTTTAAAATAGTGAAAAGAATATGACGTGATTTATGTAATACAAATATTTATATTGGTGATAAATTAATTGTTTAAAAGTAGATTTTAGACATATTCTTATAGTTTAAGAAAAAAGTAATGGAAACATGATTGTACAAGAAATTATTGAATCATTTTATAAAAATTATTTAATATATATTAACGTAATATCAATATT